ATCTGGTAGGGCAGCCAGACTGCTTTGCATGGGTGTAGGCCCTTGATGGTGAAGGTGTTGAACCTGATAAGTCTTTGATTTTGTCGAGGAAGGAAATTAGGTGTCCAGAAATCGTAAGGTGCCACCCTGGCAGGGATCCCGGAGGAAGGCAGTCTGAGGTGGGCTGGAGCGAAGCTAGCCTATCATCAGAAATCTCTGCTCTGGGACAGGAACTATTGCTGGGATACTTAAGTTACCTAATTCTTTGATTCTTTTGGAGTTTCTAGTAATTCTTTTATAAATGCTGTCTCATTTGTCTGAGGGGGAACCAAGGAAAAGGAGGAGGTTTGTCTACACTGGGATGGACATTAAAAGGGAAGTCTTTCCATTGAATTAGATCTGGTTGCCAGCAGGATAACAGAAGGCAAAATGAGCAGGAAGAGACACCATTGCCAGAGTGGGGGATGGCTCCCCCAACCTGGGTCCTCTCCAAGCTCTCCTCTGACCAACTTTGAGGGGTGGGAGCTTGTCTTCAGTACAGTGAGAAGCTCTTCGTTTGCAGATAGGTTGAGTTGTGGGTGGGAGAAAGTGGCTGGGAAAGGAGGGATGGGTTGTGAGCGGAAGTTAGGAGAGGCGGGGATGGGGCTGGGACTTGAGAAGTTGAGACCTGGGCATGCCAGCCAGGGTTAAGGAGGATTGAAAGTTAGGTCATGGGTTGGAAGTAGGAGAGGCCGAGAAGAAATCTCAGAGTAGCTGCTCCTCGGATCCTGCTACTCTGTCCCTCTGTTGCCCCCCAGGTCCTGGAGTACAATGTCATTGGAGGGAAGTACCAACGGGGTGTGACGGTGCTGATAACTTTCCAGGACCTGGTGGAACCGAGCAAGCAGGATGCTGATAGTCTCCAGCGGGCCATGACTGTGGGCTGGTGTGTGGAACTGGTGAGAAGGGTGGGGGAGGGGAGGAGGAGAAGAGGTTTACTAAATGTGGGGGTGCCTTGGTGAGAACAGGAGGGTTGGGCCTGGAACTCGTTCCTTGGCTATTTGTGCTTCTGGGCCTCTAGTGTGCCACAGCCAAATTTAGACAGTGAATTAGTCCACAGATGAATACATGTGGGGAACTTCTTTTGTCAGTAGGTACATATTTCACTTGAAGACCCCCTGTGGGCCGGGGCCTTCGAACTGGGCCTACATTCTCTGAGTAAAGTGCCATGGTTCTTCCAGAAGATTATTCTAAAGCAGAAATTGAAAACTGGCAGCCCACAGATAGTTTTTGAAAATGTTTTAGAAATAAGTGCTCTAAATTTAACAAAGAAGAAGATTCACATAAGAACCCAAATTTCTAGTCCTAGTCCATTTGCTTAATGGTTAGAGCATTGGCCCATGGACTGAAGGGTCTCGGGTTCGATTCTGGTCAAGGGCATATACCTGGGTTGCAAGCTTGATCCCTGGCCCCGGTTGGGGTGTGTGTGGGAGGCTAGTTGTTTGGTAGAGTGGCTCACAATCTAGTCTGGATTTGTCTGATTATTTCATCATGATCACAATCAGGCTAAACATTTGCTAAGAATGCTACATAGGTAATGTGGTATATTTCCCATTACTTCCCACTATAAGCACATACCTGGGAAGACTATTTAAAAAAAAACCAAACCCAATGCTGAGGTACCACCGCTATAGATTTCTTATTTAATTGATCTGGGGTAGGACTCTGGCATTGTTGTTATTATTATTTTTTTAAGTAATTTTTAAAATTGATTTTTAGAGAGAGAGGAAGGGAGAGGGAGAGAGTAACATCATGTGAAAGTGAAACATCGATTGGCTGCCTCCTGCATGCCCCCTACTGGGGATCTAGCCTAACGCCCTATCAGGGCATGTGCCCTGACTGGGGCTCCAACCAGCAACCTTTTGGTTCATGGGATAATGCCCAACCAACTGAGCCACACCAGTTAGGGCTGGCACTGGTATTTTTGTTGTTTCACCTGAGGATATTTTTCCATGGATTTTTAGAGGGAGGGGGGGAGGGAGGGGGGGAGGGGGGGGGGAGAGAGAGAGAGAGAGAGAGAGAGAGAGGAGAGAGAGAAGAGAGAGATGTGAGAGAGATATTGATTGGTTGCCTCCTGAGATAGAGAGATGTGAGAGAGACATATCGATTGGTTGCCTCCTAACTTGACCCAACCAGACCGGGGATCGAACCTGCAACCCAGGTACATGACCTTGACCTGGAATCAAACTGATGACCCTTCAGTATGCAGACTGACACTCTAACCACGAGCCACACAGGTTAGGGCTGGCGCTGGTATTTTTTAAAGTTCTCCTAATAAATAGAAAGTGCAGTTGGTTCAGAATCATTGCTGGGGGACAGAGGTGATTGAGGGAGGCCACACTGTAAATGCCCTTTGTAGACAACCCTGGTTGAATGGTACTGGTTGAAACCAGATGGCCCTGCACTCGTGCTTGGGAGAGGCAGTCGACTGGTGGGTTCAGGGGAACCATGTCACTCCAAATAAACACAATGTAAATAAAATAAGTGCCTCCAGTGTGGAAAGCCCAGACCCACCCCGGGTGAGGTCGGGGTGAAGGTGCAGGTTGATGCCTTTCCCCAAGGACTTGCCTGGACCAAGAGCAGCGACCGCCATGGCCTTTGTGCACGGCCTACACCTAGGCCGGCGGACAGTGTTACCCACGAGAGCACAGACAGATCAGTATGACGTGAAGATTTAAAAGCCATGCCTCGGAAAGCTGTATTAAGGAACTAGACTGTGTAGCCTGACCCCATAGAAGAGAACAAGTCCTGGGCCTCCCATCCTGACTTTCCTTCTCCGCTCATAGTGACTCTCAATGGCAGCTCTGTTGCTGGTGGAAGGGACAGTAATAAGGAGCCCTGGGGTCTTATTCCACTCTTCCCTCTTCTCCTAGCTCCAGGCTTTCTTCCTGGTGGCAGACGACATTATGGACTCATCCCTCACCCGACGGGGGCAGATCTGCTGGTATCAGAAGGTAAAGTAGACTCACGGGAAAGTCGCAGTGGGCATGGAAACAGGCCACAGGGAGGCGGTTACATAGAGCCTATTGAGGTGTTCAGAGTGACAGGATCTTGGTATGAGTCTAGGCCAGAGACTGATTGCTTGTTTTCTGTCCCCTGACAGCCAGGCATTGGTTTGGATGCCGTGAATGATGCTATGCTCCTGGAAGCCTGTATCTACCGCCTGCTGAAGCTCTACTGCCGGGAGCAGCCCTATTACCTGAACCTGATGGAACTCTTCCTGCAGGTGTGCTGCAGACCAGGCCCAATGCCCAGAGGCTGCCTGCAGTAGCTTGGCCTCCACAGGACGTTTTCATCTAGCTGGTCTCAGGGCATAGGGAACACCTAGGTTTTCATGGAAGAGGAAGAAAGCGAGGGAGTTGGGAAGGATGGTATTGAAGGCAAGGAGGGTTCTCTGTCCCTGTGTGATGGGAAGGAGGGATAAAGGACAGTGTGTGTCTGTGTGTGTGAGAATGTGGGCCTTGAGACTTGGTACCCTCCCTCCCTCTTGCTGCCTTTCTGACTCTGCCTAGTTGTTGGCTGGTATGGGATGTGGGGCCCAGGATTTCTGGGTTCCCCAGTCCTGGAGAAAGCCCATCTCATGGCCCATCTTCTGCCTTAGACTTCCTATCAGACTGAGATTGGACAGACCCTGGACCTCATCACAGCCCCGCAGAGCAACGTGGATCTTGGCAGATTCACTGAAAAGAGGTGAGGGACAGTGGGAACCAGACCTGAACAGTGAGGGAGGGCTCCAGGTGGGCATTGCCTTTTTGAGGAATTGATCTTCTCTCCCTACTTAGGTACAAATCTATTGTCAAGTATAAGACGGCTTTCTACTCCTTCTACCTTCCTGTAGCTGCTGCCATGTATATGGTGAGTGAGCCTCCGCACACCCCCGCTACCCACCAATGTTAGCTTTTATACAATCTGGTGCCCCCACTTAATGGCTGTGCGACCTTGAGCAAGTTGCATATTCTCCCTGATTCTGTTTCTTCAGCTGTAAGATGAGGATAAAATCCCCACCTCACAGGATTGTTGTAGAAATGAGGTGAGGCAAGTGAAAGTGGGTAGTCCACCATAGAGGAACAAGAAATCTTCCATCTGAGTATGGATGGGAGTGGGGAGGAGATGATCAGGCTGAAGAGACTGGATTTACAGGCAGTGAGTGGGATTGACTGGCACCCTGAACCTGCTTCTCCAAGTTTCCTTTTCATCCTGAATGAAGTTTGAAATGGCAAAAAGATTATAAAGAAGAGCCCCAGCGGGTTTGGCTCAGTGGATAGAGCATCATCCTGCGCACTAAAGGGTCCTGGGTTTGATTCCGGTCAAGGGCACATGCCTGGGTTGTGGGCTCGATCCCCAGTAGGGGGTGTGCAGGAGGCAGCCGATCAATGATTCTCTCTCATCATTGATGTTTCTATCTCTCTCTCCCTCTTCCTTCCTCTCTGAAATAAAAAATATATATATATTAAAAAAAAAAAGATTATGAAGAAGAATCAGTGACTCCTGGACTGAGCCTCATGAAATAAGAGATGGTCTGAGGGCCTCCAGAATGGATTAATTTCTGCCTGCAAGAAGGCCTAGCTAAAATTCAGTGGGATAGAGGTTGGACCACCAGTCAGGACTTCCTAGACCAGGGAAGCCAGGGATGTCTGAAAGGAGAGCAGAGAAGATTTAGGGGCTAACCTTGGGCAAGACCCTATGGGAGGAAGCCATCAGGAAGATGAAGGCGCCCTGATGTCTCACCTGTCAATCCCCTTTCCACTATAGGCAGGCATTGACGGGGAGAAGGAACACGCCAATGCCAAGAAGATCCTGCTGGAGATGGGAGAGCTCTTTCAGATCCAGGTAGGAAGGCAGGAGGCACTGGCAGAGAACAGGCTCCAACTTCCCTCCTTCCCTGCCTCGGAGCATCTTCATTCTCCTTTTCTGCTCCCCTGCCCAGGATGATTACCTTGATCTCTTTGGGGACTCCAGTGTGACGGGCAAGATTGGCACTGACATCCAGGACAACAAATGCAGCTGGCTGGTGGTACAGTGTCTGCAGCGGGCCTCGCCGGAACAGCGCCAGATCCTGCAGGTGCCCAAGAGAGGGTTGTGGGTCCCTGAGCTGATAAAAAGGGGATAAGGCAGTGGTTCTTAAGTGGGGGCAGTTTTTACCCCAGGGGACATTTGGCAGTAGCAGCAGACATTTTTTGTTGACTTGGTGTGTGTGCATGTACTATGGTCTCTCTCTCTGGTGGGTAGAGGCCAGGAATGCTTCCATACATCTTACAAAGCACGCAACAGTTTCCATAACAAAGAATTATGTGGCTCCAAATTTCAACAGAGCCAAAGCTGAGATACCCTGTGGCAGAGGAAGCTGAGGGCTGAGCTAATATCTGAGCATTCGCAGTGGGGAGGGGAAAATTGAACATATTAGACAATCTTAGACACTCAAAGACACTTGAATTGGAGGCAGGAATCAAGTGAATGGCAGGCATTGGAGATGTTCTGAATATATGGATGAGGGGCATGGAGGGGGCATGGAGGGGACGTGGAAGCACTAGGGGAAGAGTAAGCCTGTTTTCCTGCCTCCACCCCCTTCTAGGAGAATTATGGGCAGAAAGAAGCTGAGAAGGTGGCCCGGGTGAAGGCACTCTACGAGGAGCTGAATCTGCAGGCCGTGTTTATGCAATATGAGGAAGACAGTTACAGCCGCCTTCTGGGTCTCATCGAGCAGTACTCTTCGCCCCTGCCCCAAGCCATCTTCCTGAGGCTAGCACAGAAGATCTACAAGCGGAAAAAGTGACCCAGAGACTGCCAGGGCGGGGAGGGGAGCTCTCAATAAATTATAGTATATCCTCACTGAATGTCATCCATCGATTCTTGGATACCGTGACAAAATTTTGCCATATGTTAATTGATATAGACAAGAGTTATATTTTGTGATATTTCTGGTCACAAAAATATCACCAGTCTGGGTGGGTGTGGCTTGGTTGTGGGTGTGGCTTGGTTGGTTGGAGCATCACCCTTTGTACTGGAAGGTTGCAGGTTAGATTCCCGGTCAGGGCACATATCAAGGTTGCTGGTTTGATCCCAGTTGGGGCATGTATGGGAAGCAACCAATTGATATGTCTCTCTCACACTGATATTTCCCTAACTTTCCCTTTATCCCTCTCTAAAACAAAATCAAGTAAAAAAAACCCATCAAATGCTTCTAATATTAAACACTGTGTACTGGAAGGTTGCAGGTTAGATTCCTGGTCAGGGCACATATCTAGGTTGCTGGTTTGATCCCAGTTGGGGCATGTATGGGAAGCAACCAATTGATATGTCTCTCTCACACTGATATTTCCCTAACTTTCCCTTTATCCCTCTCTAAAACAAAATCAAGTAAAAAAAACCCATCAAATGCTTCTAATATTAAACACTGAAATGAACTATACACACATTTAAGGAATGAATAAAAGCAGTTAAGGGTTGTGTGTGATAGGAGCCTATCTGGACAGCTCAAAGTGGAAGCCAACGCTGGGCAGGCGGCCCTTCCATTGCAGGACCCACTCATCCCCACAACCACTCAGGCAATTAGACACCAACTCACCTCACCTGCATGTCTTTGGGCTGTTGGAGGAAAACAATCCAGGAGAAAACCCAAAGGGAAGAACTTGCAAGCTGCACACAGTGGACCTGCCTGGAATCAATTTTCTCAACCCTATAAAAAAGGAAGAATGAAACGATATTATACCAGAACCTGCTGTCCTATCCAACCTTGTGGTTCTGTTCTTGCGTATACCAGCCAGGGATGCAGCTCTGTCCAGAATAGGTAGGGTGGTTCCACAGAAACCAGGGCCATGACTTCCGGACCTCTAAGGCCGAAAAAGCTTAGAATATACCAAAAACAGAGACAGGCCTAGGTGGGTGACACGGGCAAGACGTCAAGCGCAGGGGGCTGGGTCTGAGCCCCGCCCCGCCCATGCGTGAAGGGGCGCGGCTGCGCAGCGTGGGCGGGTTGTCCTACCGCCGCACCCCTTCCCTCCAGTCAGTGCGGGGACTGTGTGAGCCGCAGAGGAGCTCAACGCCTGGAGCAGTTGCAGAACCGAGGTGAGGAGGGCTCGGTCTGGGGGTGTGGATGAATGGATCTGCATGAGGGGTGGGGCAGGAGAGGGAGCAGTAAAAATGAATAGGGGTGGGGTGGTGGCTGGATGAAAGACAAGTACGGAGAGAATGGACAGAAACCCCGGGTTTCTACCGGGGCTGTACGCTGAAGCCCTGTGCGGTCTGTGCGGGCCGGCTTGACATGCAGACCACCGCTCCATCCCCCGCTCCTGCCCGCCCTTTCCTGCATTCACCAGCCAGACGCAGCGCCTCTCCTCCCCCACTTCAGAGCATTTGGGCAGGGCCTCCCTTGGCCCCTTACTCTGGGAGTGATTGCAGCCATGAGGACCGAGGGTCCATTCTGGACCGCATCCTTTTTC